CATCGAATATCAGATCGGAAACAAGGTCTGGCTCGATACGACAAATCTTCACCTCCCCAGACCAAAGAAAAAGCTAGACGACAAACGAGTCGGCCCTTTCCAAATCATGGAAAAATGCGGCGCTTCTGCCTACAAACTGAAGCTTCCTCCCACGTGGAGAATATACCCGGTCTTCAACAAAACCCTCCTCACACCGTACACACCCCCGGCGTTCCCAAATCAACAGCAACCGCCACCTCCTCTGCCTGATATCATCATGGGCGAAGAAGAATACGAAGTCAAAGAAATCCTCGATGACAAAACCCGCAAAGTACAAGGAAAGAAGGGGGAAAGGTCCAAAACGGTGACCGACTACCTCGTCAAATGGAAAGGCTACAGTCCTGAAGACAACAAGTGGACCGCAGAAAGGTACCTCGGCAACGCAAAAGAAGCGATTGCTGAATACTGGGAGAAAAAAGGAGGAATAACGGTAGATGCTATCGTAATCAACCCTGGCAACGACACGATCATCATCGATGCCCGCTATCAACAGGAGGACGACAACGACAAAATAGGACCAGAGGACAACACATGGTACTACCTTATCAAGGTCGCTAGCGCCCAGGCGGAAAAAGGGGGCCAAGAACATGAATGGCTGGACGAAGAATGGAGGCCAGAACCCGAACTCGGGCATCTGGAGGGGCTCATTAAAGATTATTGGTGGGCCAACAAGCAGGACAGCGAAGTGGACCCCCCCGACGGAGACGAGTCTTAGGACAGTCGAGACGCCTGCCTTAACGAGGGGGTAATGTTACGATTTTCTCACCTATCTTATCTAATTGGCCGGCGCTTATCTATATCTTATCTTATCTCAAGCGCCTATCATTGTAACCACGACTATAATGGACCACATCAGCAATTGTACTACGGACAACTATGGCTTGCGACCAACGCTCGCCCTTCTCGTGTTTTCCCTTGTATTCCGCACGACAACCACGGACAAGTATTCTATTCATAGTACAGGACTTTTCATATATAAGTAGCGTAGCTCTCGCTGTATATTCCCCAGCTTCGAGCTAAAGTTTAATCACACCGAACTTAGCTAGTCGACTCAGCCTCAGACTAAGACATTAGTCTGACGCTCTTAGTAACCATTCAGTACAGAGATTCCTTGGGTGACTGTTTGAACGTGAAACAGCCCTCGGTTTACTCTTGTTTGGTTTACCTGGAGTTCGGGTCTAACAGCTGTGTCCTTGCTCGCCAATGTCGATTTCGATTTCTTGGACCAGAGCGACCATAGGAGTTTCCTGACTTTCAGGATGCTGTACGGATGCAAGCGATGAGGGGAAGGATGTGACGGATCTGTCGGGCTGGGTGGTGCCATAGCGCTGTAGACCGTGGGGGGATGGGTAGAAGGGGACAGCTGGAAGACGGGGGGCACAGAGGGTGCAGTCCATCCAACGCTGAAGACAGTTGTGTTGGGTGTTGTACCAGAAAACGATCAGCCACCTGGACCAATAGAGGAGGTACGAAAGGGCAGAGATCCCAACAAAGAGTGTCAGGAAGAAGGCAGAGATGATTCCGGTGCTGGTGAACAATGCAGGCATTCGGTTTCAAGAAGCAATGGTGGCTGCTTAGAGAAAGGGAATAGAAAGCTTCGAGCTAATTGTTAGACCCAAACTCCAAGTAAACCAAACAAGAGTAATCCGAGGGCTGTTTCGCGTTCGAACAGTCACCCAAGGAATCTCTGTACTGAATGGCTACTAAGAGCATCGGACTAATGTCTTAGTCTGAGGCTGAGTCGACTAGCTAAGTTCGGTGTGATTAAACTTTAGCTCAAAGCTGGGGAATATACAGCGAGAGCTATGCTACTTATATATGAAAAGTCCTGTGCTATGAATAGAGTCTTTGTCCATGGTTGTCGTGTGGAATACAAGGGAAAACATGAGAAGGGCGAGCATTGGTCGCAAGCCATAGTTGTCTGTAGTATAATTGCTGATGCGGTCCGTTATGGTCATGGTTATGATGATTGGTGCTTGAGATAAGATAAGATATAGATAAGCGCTGGCCGATAAGATAAGATAAGTGAGAAAATCGTAACACACACCTGACATTCTTTTCACTATTTGCTCTATTTTGGCTGTTGGATATCCTTTCTATTTAGACAAAGACTCCACAAAGGCTATCCTGTCACTTGTCCAGATTCAAAAGGAATCTCCTGTTTGGGATGATTGTCGCAGAAGGCTTCAGCAGTTGCTTGAAGAAAATGGCATGAGTTTCTTCTATCAGCAGGCTTATGTTAAAGGAATTCAGCAAGTTGGTTTGTTAGAGGTAGAGATAGCATGGCAAAGGAAGCATATTGGTTTTGCAATTGAGGTCTTGAATAAGTTTTTTGCTGGTGAACTGAATGATGAACTGGTGAGTGTTTAATTGACCTGGTAATTCAAATAATACTTACTGGAATTAGGAGGACAGTTCTACTTGCAGGGAAAATCCTGAAGCTGCAGAGATTGTATCTCCAGATGCTCCACCAATTTCTCAAGCCCAGAGAACCTGGCATGATCACTTGCATCAGTTACTACCCTGGCATGGCCATGAAGATGCAGACAATGCTGCAGGGGGTGTTTGAGTCATCATGCTGACCAATCATTAGTTGAGTGTGCAATTAAGTGGGGTGGATTGGGGTACAAGGGATGCTGGATACTGAAGAAACATCTGAAATAGTTTTAGAAGATCGGATTCCATACAGTAAATAAGTAGTAGCCTATTGTAAGCAATGAACATCGGAAATGGAAGACATCTTGTTTATTTACCTCTTTGGATCGGTTCCTGCCCCTAACCATTCCCAATTCCTTCTCAACATCCACCACCACAACTCATCGCGACGCCGGCAAGAGGAAACACGGAAACGGATCCTTCAAATCCACGCTTACTGAACCCCGGCATGATTCGTCGTACATTAAAGAAGCCGATCGGCACCCATGGGTGACCCGGGACTCGTATGTAATAACCATGACCTTCCCCAAAGGCCGTGTCTTAGAACCCCATGGACACGCTCACCACCTACGCCGGGCTCGCTGCCCTCCCGCCCCACCTCCCCACGCTCCTCGCCTCCCTCGCCTTCTTCACGTTCGTCCACCTCGTCGTCGCGCCTCTCGCGAGCCATGCATTCTTCCCCGATACGTACGGTAAGATGGGGCGGAGGGCGAGGAACAACTGGTCGGTTGCGTTTTCCCGGTCGGCGTTCGCTATTCATGGGTGGGTTTAGGTGCATACACGTCGTGTCGCAAGCACACGTCTCGCTGGTCATCCCGCTCGCGCTGGGGTGTCTGAACCTCGAGGCGCTGGACCGGGATCGCGCATTTGGGTGGGAAGAGGTCAGGGTGGGCCGGTTGATTGCTGTTTCTAGTGGGTGAGTCTCGCTGTTTGTGAAGCAGGGAACGGAGAGTCTGAGCTGGGCGAGCAGGTATTTCATCTGGGACACCGTCGATGCGATTGTCAACTTTGTCGATATCGGATTTGTCGTGCACGGCCTAGCGTGTTTGGCTATCTATCTTGGCTCGTTTGTGCGTCGACCTTTGTTCGTGTTTGTCGTCTTGCCCTTGCTGAATCTCGTGTGTAGAAACCGTTCTTGGCGTACTACGCGGCTCGGTGTCTTCTCTGGGAAGCGTACGTCGTTCTGTCAATCTCTCACTTTTCTTGTTCACGCCTTTTCCTTCGTAGGAGCACATTCTTCCTCAACATCCACTGGTTCCTCGACAAGACCAACCGCACCGGGAGCAACTTCCAGCTCATCAACGGCTTGTTTCTCCTCGTGACGTTCTTCGTAGTGAGGCTCGTCTACGGAGGGATGTATGTCGTACGTGTTTTACGCGTGTTTCCAATTTGGCGCTCGACCCTAATCCTCGATCGGTACTAGTCATATCAATTCGCGCATACGCTATACCAAGTTCGGCATCAAGTGCCGCTCGTTTATATCTTTATTTATGGAGGAGGGAACATTGTGTTGCAGGGTTTGAATTGGTTATGGTGCGTGAAAAAGCTTCTTTTGCTGGTTGTCGTGCTGATAACTGGGATAGGTTCGGGAAGATGATTGAAGCTATTCGGAAGCGATTCTCTGGTAATAATACAGTCAAGACTCATAGTAATGGGACCGCGCCAAAGTAGAGCGGACGCTCGAGGAAAACACACTGCGCAATAGACTTTTTTCGGAAAGGAACCGCGTCTATGAGAGATTTGTGCAGACCTACAGGGAATTTATGCTGGGAATGCTATCAAGATTCGGCCCTCCTTCCAAGCTTCCAAAGGGCACGGCCGTCGCCAATGCAGCTCAAAGGCAAGCTCCACAGCTCTCGACAAGTGAGAAGAGCCGATACATTCCTCAGATCCACACAGTCCAATGCTGCGCCGAAATGTCCGACCCGTTAGCTGAGACGTTCTACGCGTCAACGTATTCGCACAATACACAGACGGCTTCTGCAATGATACCGTTTCACGCAAGGGGGAAGCCAGCATACCTTGGGTGATCTGATTAATAGGTGGGCAGCATTGTGATGGAAATTTATGAATGGGAGGCTTGTACATTCAGATTGTCAAAATAACGACCCTCCGCCGAAGCTAAGAGGTCGACCAGGGAGGGAGCAACATCGGATATTCTACCTTTCTTCTTTCGCACACGACTAGCGCTTTCCTCTGGCGATATCCTGCAGGCGATCCATGAAAAACATCCTTTTCACCGCTAGCCAGGATCCACATGTCCCTTCCTTCAAGCTGCATGCCCGTAGTTTGTGATTGAATTGTAACTGGTTTCCTTTTACTGCACGTATACATCCTTCGTGCATGCAAAGTAAAGGCATACAAGTTGGCAGCAGGTGATGTTTGCGCGGTATAAGAGCAACGGCTCACGAATATAAATGTTGATTAGTGGCCGCTCGGCTGCCCTCTAGAAGTTGTTTGAAAAAAGAGCACTCAGCAAAATTGATACAGCATCAAATAATCAAAAATGTTCCAACAAAACGGAATGGGGGCACCCGGGATTGAACCGGGGACCTCCAGAAGGTTGCCAAGCGACTTCAGTCTGTTGCTCTCCCAGCTGAGCTATGCCCCCTCAAAAATTGGACATTCATATTCCCTTTCAAACCAACGACTGGAAAGTACAGTGTAAGGGGCAACAGTTCTGATCTAGGATGGAATACCGTATCGTTGCGTCGTAGGAGGGGTGGGAGCGATAGATTAATAACAATGCGGTGGAACGTTTTGGAGCTGACGAATAGGAAAATCGTCGGGAGAGTCGGTTTTTTATATGCCTAACAGCATCCAAGGTTCAGTATCGTCGCGTTTACTTGAGTAAGTCTCGGAGGTACCGGTAAAGGTTGAATGGCGAGTGTAGGGGTTGCTGAAGTGGCAGGTGAACAGCCGACTGATGCCTAGTTCACATCTGGGTGCCGGTAGCGTGTGGTTGTCGACTAAGGTTTGGCCCCAACAGAAGACGCGTCGAGAAGGCAAGACTGAGAGCAATAAGATGTTTCATTTTATATCGTATTCGAGTGTGCGGAATAATAATCATATTTCCCTCAAAAACTGGCGGACCTGGTGTTCCCTCAGTGCGCCGGTGAACGTCTTGACAGCCTTGCCTCCTTGGAAAGCGACGACTGTGGGGAGTGCTCGTACCTGGACGTGGTCGACACGAGGAATGTTCCATGACAAGAAGTAAACGCACCTTGAATCGCTGACAGAGTTCTCTTCCCTCCTCGCTATCGCTATTAATGGTGACGAGGTCCAATGGTTGGCAGGACGCGGTCTCGGTAGCGGGATCGTCCGTGAGATGTTCGAGGATGGGAGAGAGGACCTTGCAAGGCTGACACCAGCTGCGAAACGTGAGCTTATGAGCATGGCTAGACGACCCTGCTTACTCTGCGTAAAAGTCGACGAGAACGATGCGTCCTTCCGCTGTGGTCACTTTTTTGAAAGTCTACTGATGGGTTAGGTGGGCACAGACAGTAAAGGGACGGGACGGACGTGAAAGTCGGCATCGAGGTAGTGGTCAAGGCGGTGTGGCGTCGATGAAAAGCAGCGGCGTGAGAGACGGGATGCGAGGGACCTGACGGTGAGCGAAGCCATGGCGGTGGAAAATAGAAAAGTGATGTCATCATCCTCGCCGGGTTAGCCGACAGCCATCACCATCATCACCAGGGAACGTTCGCATAAATGCGAAAAAAGATCCCCATCTTTCATCCTTCTCCCTTCGTTCGTTATGTTTTTCATTCTCCTTGCTGTCCTGGTGTCAGCCGTCTTTGTTTCTGCAGCGGACCATTTGGTGACCGTCGGTGACGGAGGAGTGAGCATTCTCTGCCCTGCGAGTCTGATTTGGTTCTCACGATACTCTGGGTAGACGCTGGCGTTCAACCCAACAAGGTGATGAGGCCTGTCATTCTGTGACCGTGTGCCGTCTGAGCTCGTCTGCAGCGTGACCGCCCTCGAAGGGGACACTGTCACTTTTTCATTGTACGTCCTCGTCCTCTGAGATAACCTTCTCTCACGCCCGTCCTAGTCGCTCCAAAAACCACGTGCGTCCCGCAGCACCTCTCTGTCTCCCATCTAACCCTGCACCCAGTCCGCGACCCAATCCACGTTCGCCGCGCCCTGCAACAAGTCCGGCATCGACTCGGGCTTTGTCCCTATCCCGACCAACAGCACCCTCTTCGGCCAGTGGGCCTTTACCGTCGACAACGGCTCTGCCCCGCTCTGGTTCTTCTGCGCACAGACCGGCCATTGCGAGGCGGGCATGGTCTTTGCGGTCAATCCCACCCAGGAGAAGAGTTTCCAGGCGTTTGCGGCCAATGCACAGGGGAACAGCACAGCGAGTTCGAGCACGAGTGTTTCCTCGTCTGGGGCCGCGTCTAGTGCTAGCCTAGCTGTTGCTTCCAGTAGCACCGTCAGTGCTAGTGCCGCTAGTACCGCCAATGTTAATACCGCCAGCAACGGCGCTGCGCCCAGTCTGCGCATACATCGCATTGCATTCACTGTCGGAGCTTTGGTTTTTGGTGTTCTACTTTAGACAATTGTACAGGAATACAATTTGACGCGTTGTTGACTCCCGGTACGAATTATAGGCGACGCGTCGGGTACCAAAAACTCTCCAACACGTGTGATGGGTATCCAACATTGTTGTGCTGCTCTCAATTAACCTATGGCTGCCAAATGTCGAACGCCTTCAAGTGTGTCCCGAACGAATCGACGCATAGGTCATGTGGGGGCATAGCTCAGCTGGGAGAGCAACAGACTGAAGTGAAATGCTTGCGCTGCTCTTCTGGAGGTCCCCAGTTCAATCCTGGGTGTCCCTACCTATATCGATGCTGTCTCTCTGCCATCATTTTTATTGCATGACTTATGATTCTTTTTTCTGCCCAGTGCCCGCCCGGCGTCGATTGTCCAATGTCGACGGAGTTGTACACGAAACCCTCAGTAGGCGTTGAACCAACGAGCAGAGGACTACGTCGGTCTAATCACTATTGCGCACTCTACGTTCATCATAGGACTGATATTCAATAGATCGGGATCAGCACTTGGTCATTTGATTGCAAATTCCATCTATCTAGTTGCGTTCGAATCCTGTCGATCAGGGCACTCGACGAAAAGTTATACACTATGATGGACCCCAGCCAAATGCACAGTACCTGCTATGCAAAGCAACCTGAACACATGGGCGTAGTTCGCCTAAAACGTACGCGTACTCTCTCCCGAAGCTGTCAGACTTTTGACTCATCGTATTAGGGAAGAGGAAGAAGTCTTGTCTGTGGGTTGTATCCATTCACACGGAAAGCCGTCTTTCTATCATAGTCACGGCGCACGTCTTCCTAACTCAATCATGGAATCGAATCTGAATCCTCCAGTCGCGTCAAGGACCGTCGCCAGGAGCATGGTTACTATCTTCTACTCATCAGCCATCATAATGCTCTGAATTGTGGCTATGGTGCGCTCGATCTCTTGGTGCTTTAACGGTGATCTTACTGCCTCACAGACGCTGGTATGTTCACGCTCCTGAGGCCGTGCAGGAAGAGATACCTCGATACCTTTCGAATTCCCGTACCCTGCAGAGAGCGCTTGCGACGTCATAGGTAGTCGCATCTGGTACCGGATGATAGCGCGCTGCGGTGATGCACCAGGCGTTCAATTGAAGTCCGTGGGCGCGGTGGCCTGGTGATGGGGCTCTGGGGGACGGAGGGCATCATCCACGAGGACGCGAGAGGAACAAAAGCAAACAGAAGAGACCAATTGAATTTTAGGAAACATGATTAACAAGTACAACGAAGAAACGTCTTCCTAAAATCATTGGCAAACTCGACAAGCCCGCCGCCCCATTTAATTGGGGACGCAGATCAGGTTTCCACACGCGTTGGTCTCACAGACTAGTAGAAGCAATTAAGTAGAATACACAGATGAAAGAGACGGTCGCTTACCGCCTTGAGACTGCTGGAAGGCGCAGGAGTGGCCTACACCGTAGTTGTTAGACCCGTTGCACGCATCGACTAGGACAATCAAAGTGAGGAACGCTTCGAATTATGTATTTATAGTTCCTACCGGCGTTGTCTGCAATGAGGGCAGCAGCATTGACTTGTCCCGCAGACAAGAACACGGCCGTCAACGCGATCGTGGCAATAGAGGCGATTTTGAACATCATTTTCAAAGGAGGATGAGCAAGATTGGAGCGGTTGACTGTGAGCGGTAAAGTCTGTGTGGACGAGGTTGTTGGATAGAAAAAGTTCCCTTCGGCCAGGTTTTATAGGCAGACAATGCCAATCCCAGAACGGTTGGAAATTTTTCGCGAGTTTCAACATATGGAGCCCTCGCACCGAGGAAATCTGTTCCAGAGAGGTTTCAAGGAGAATCGTTGTACACGGGACATGGCCAAATGGACATGACTCGTATGAGTTGCGATGAGACGAGTAAATACCACATCGTAGACTCCCAAAGAAGCCAACATAATTCAATGTCAGAGCCATAGCAATGCGCAGTCTATTTGGAATTTTTTAACCGATGCTAGTTGACACACTGCTTGGAGAAATCAGCGCTGGAAGGACTCACTGCATCGACAGTTACGCAACTACGCACTTGAAGCTGTTGCGACCTTGGTTACCGTCGGATACCGGAAGCTGGTTTTCGATTATGATACTTACTAGCTGCTGGATGTAGCTTCGGCGAAGCTTCATAACTCTGCTACAGCACGATTCTAAGATTTCCTAGCTCCTGGTTGACGGAACCACGATTGAAAACCAAAGTTCTAAGCAGAGTCGCCCGCTACGACATTCCTCGAAGTGGCCACAGTTCCGTAATTCATGAAACAAGATGGTTCTAGTTTCGGGACTCCGAACATACCGGCCCGTTTCGAGGTGTTCGACAAATCGTGCTCACATACTTACTTACTTCCTGATAGTTTCAACAAATTCGCTTCCAAAGTCTGTGCACCATGCGTTCAGCGCGGCGCCACCAAAATCTGATATTGGGCGTCATTGTATACTTTCAGGCAACTGAGGTGTTTCGGGGTGTATGTCATTCTTGAAACATACATGCAAGCACTCCGCTCTTTCGCATTTGGGACTTGTAAAGCATTGGCTGCGTAGCTCGTCTATAAAAGCCAGTTGGTTTCGAGCATACCATCCAACAACCGTACTCGCACAGTTATAACCACCGCTGAGCATACCATCTATCCACATACAAAAAATGATGTTCCAAATCAAGTTGACCGCTATGGCATTGGCCGCCGTATTCCTCTTCGCAGGACAGGCAAACGCCATCGCAGGCTAATGCTGGTATGCATCGAACTCTTTCGCGACTAACCGTCTTCGCTGACCGTAATGTTATCAGTCGACGCGTGCAACGGTTCGAACCATTACTCTGTCGGACACTCTTGTGCCTTCCAGGACTCTCAAGGCAGTAAGTCACGAATTCGAATACGTACTACCTTCTGAAGCTCATGGTTTCGCAGCGTGCCAAAACAACAATTGTGGCGTGCTCGTTTGTGTCCCCAACTGACAGCGGCAGCATCAACGGACATGGCTGAATAGTCCGTGTACATAGTTCGTTTGCGTAGTTCTCACAAATTCCATGTATGCTCTTCAGAGTACTTCAAACCTGTCGTGACAAGACGGCAGCATGTGCTTTGTCTAAGCCGATAGTTGCAGTTGAAAACGACAAGACCGTCAAACTACCATGACGTGGATACGAAACTAAATTAACCAAGAAAATCATTTATTAGCATCGAGTCTTTACACAAGCAGCCACTTACTCTGTGGATCACTGGACTTGTTGGTGAATAGGTCTGAGGCGAAGAGGTGAAATATCCGGACTATATTACCGAACGTGAGTTGATATAAAAGGGGTTAACTAGACGGAGGGAGTGTCCCTTCCATGTCGCTGGGGTGGATATTGCCTTCTTGAGTGGTATATTCATTCATTAACCCCTATTCAGGTCCAACAGACCAAGTCGACTGTCTGATAAACTCGCTCTTCGCTGACATTGCATAAGATTCGGATACATATAATGGAATTCAAGGATATAGCCGACGAAAGAAGTACAAACCGTCAACGATCGATCCAGGATCGAGGCGGTACCCCGAAAATTTAATCAAGTTCTTCCTATCGTCCGATGAGATATTGACGTTGAAGGCGCGCTCGATTCTCTGGAAATCAAGATGCTGGAACAGTTTCCCAAGCCGGAGAATAGGACGGAGTTCGCTGATCTGGGAATGCGAGAAATCCTGGCAATCTTGAATACAGGAAGTCCATCTAGCGTGAACGGAGAGATATCGTACGGTCCAGGTGCTTAAAGGTCAACTCTCGAGGAAAGTACCACACGGTATACTGATTCAAAAGGGACTGTGATCAGTGGCCCATCGTCGCAAGACGCAACGAGGACTGCGAATGGCTCAGAGGGTTCATGAATATTGGGCCTGATAGCTATGGCTCCAACAAGATCTGCCTTGTGCCCTGTGGCCGATCGACTCCATATGTCCACCTCCTCGAGTAGTGCAGACCAATATTCGTTCTGATAGGCCACCTCGATGATGATACCAGGGGACACAGTCCGAACCAAAAGTAGAAGCGGCCTCCGATCCTCCGATATTGTGAGTTGGCCTATACAAAGACACAGTGAGAGATATAGTGAAGGAATCGTCCGGGGCACGATAATGTTCAACGAGGTATGTAGCGAAGATGGTGGAGCAGAACAAAGATGTTGCTGACTATTCCAAGCCGCGTCCGTTTTCGGACCGCATACCCACTTCCACCTCTTTCCTTTCAACCATCATCATGGCTCCCTATCGTCCTGCTCTCTCGACCACCCACAAATCTCGTCCCAGGACCCCGTACTCGCGTAGGTTCTTTGTTATCTTGACCTGCCAGTGACCGAACACCTCTCTTCCAGCCATTAAGCCCTACAAACGATCTCCACTGCGGTACAGCCGCTACAGCTCTGGTCCCCGACGAAGTACCCCACCAGAATCTCACTCTCGTCGAGTTTCGAATAATTGGCACCATCGGCCACCTCTTCTTGATCCTATCTATGAGAACCCTCTTGCCCGGAGGAGACAGGAGGTGTCATTCGATTTTGAAGACTCTTTTCGCGTGCCAGTTCAGAGAGAGGGAGACCATCACGATGACGACGACGTGTTGTTTCCCTGGGAGGACGAACAAACACTCATAGCCGAACTCTCCCACGATGGGTGAGCGTTTACGCGCATATATCCAGGTTATCCGTTCTGAAAGCCCCTGAGCCGTGTCGAACCAGACGACGACGAAAATGTTTTCAAGCTCATCGACTCACTTAAACACTCCTTTACACGCCATTCAAATATTCTCGTTGATGACATTGCACAGACCCTTGTTCCTGCTGTCAATCGCGTCAAGGAAGCTCACCACGTCCTCAACACTCGGGTCGACCACGACTTCGGGGAGGGACTATGGGGGTTCCATGGGACATGCAAGAAAATTGAGCTCGCGACGTTGAAGGATACGGATGAGGTCCAGGAGGAGTATGAGGCTGCACAGGTGAGTTTGGGTTTCTATGTCTCCCTTCTTTGTGTTTCATGTTTTCCTAGGTGCGCATTGCGAATATTATGGGCAAGCTCGAGGACGTGTATGCTCGCCGGGACAAACTCTGGATTGACTTTGAAGTTAAATTCAATAGCCTTGGTATCGCTCTCCGTCTTTTCAAGTGCATTTCTCACCAAAGTCGTCACAGTGGACCCGACGATTGAGATGGTCAAGGACCTCCCTGCTAGAATGGAACGTGCTACTTCTGAAGTCGATAAACAGAGCAAGAAATTGAACAAGGACGATGTCGGAC